TTCTAGGCTGATGCCTTTCCTTCCTTCCATGGTGAATTATTCTTCAACAGATGTCAGTGTTCCAGACTCTTTCACGCACGCTGTCTGTGTTGAAGAAACTCTCCTCAGGTTCCTTGCTCTCTCACCACTGAGTCTTCGTTTATCTTCCAAAGCCTGCTCGATCCTCTTCAGTCACACTTTGGGCAGGTTGCTCCCTTCGGACAGCATGCTCTTGAGTTCTGAATGATATTCTGGGCTGATCCTTTTGGATTGGATGGCAGCATTTAGTATGCTCAGCCACCAGATCCTGCTGTCTAGCTTACAATTCCTGGGGATCGTTTGCTCTGTATATGACTGGTTTCAGCCTTGTTTAGTACCCCATTCTTTGGTAATATTGCATTCCCGGGAATCCCTTCTTGTAGCAGGTATATCTTAGAAGACGTCAGGCCCAGCCCAAGAACAACGGTGAAACAGTCCAGTTGAGCAAAGTCCCTTTATTTGCTTACAAAACAAGTTTTTATAGACAGAATCTTGCCAGACTAAATCTATTATACTCCTGCAACTAGTGGATGTACCCTGGGGGATTCTAGGGAGTGGCTGTCCTGAATCTCTTAGTCTTCTCACGCTCGCCCTGCGGACTGTGTTGTCCCTTGTCTCCTTTCCCTTCCTGGAGTGCACCCCCTCCTTCCCGATAGCCTTGCTCTCTCGCAGAAATCAGTTCTGAGTCCTGTTTCTCTACCCTTGATATTCTATTCCTGGTGCCGTTTCATGATCGAGGCCTTCCGTATCCTCCTCATGCTGGTGGTACTCAGCTCTATTGGTCTTTTATGGTCCTTGATGACAGGATGGGGCCCACCATGACAGAATGTCTTCTAGTGCTTTGTCTTGCGTGCCCTTCCATCACCTCAAGGGAATATGGGTAAGATGGAGATTTTGTGCTTTGGCCTGATTATCCTTTCTGTCGTCTACTGCGTTCCTCCTGTATCTGTTTCCAAAGCTCCTCGATTGACCAGCTTCCTCCACCTCTAGCTTTTGATTGAAGATCAGCTAACTCTGCCCCTGTTTCTCAGTCTTACTGCAAGGGTGGCTAAGTTTTATTTGATGAGTATTAATAGGATCTGGCTGTTTCTGGCGGAGCAGACTGCCGCTTTATTGGTTTGTGTCTCTGTAGTTTCATGCTTCAATTACTGTAATTGTCTCCTGGCACGCAGTCCTGATTCCTCTCTTCACCCAGAGTGGTGCCATTTGGGACTTTACACACTCCTCTTTGCTTCCCCGACATTGCTGGGCTCTTCACCGGATTGGAACTCAAGTCAGAGCCCAGATTCACCTCCTGGGGCTGGAGTTGAAGCCCTCTGGCACAGCCTTCTCATTCTGCTCTGCCCTGCTTCTCCCCGCTGTTTTCTTTCTGCTCCTCCGGCCCTGAGGCTCTAGAACCAGCTTCCTCTTTCCCTCCGCCTTTGTGTTAGTTTAATGGCTTTTCAAAGGGATTTAAAGGCCTTTTTGTTTGACTAGGAAGTTACTCTGGAGTCTGTTTATCCCGCCCTCCTCTCATTAATGGTGGCAATTCCCAGGCTAGTACCTGTTTCAGAGTTGCTGCAGTTGCACGCGCACTCAGGCGTCCTGTAGCATTTCGCCATAAATCTGTACGGTGGTTGTGTTTGCATTTATTTTAGCTGTAAATAGTTACTTTATTGGATTTGTTGATAGCTTGTGGATTATTTTACTGGATGGAATTTTTGTGATTCCTGAGTCGCTTTGACTTATACTGCTCCTTGGGAAAAGTGCGTAACTAATAAAAATAATAATCGTAGTTGTCGTTATTGCAATGGCCTTTTTAGATTTTTATGCCTTATAAAACAGGCAGTCTCTATGGATGGTCTGTATGTTCCTGATTATTAGTATAGTTGGTTGCCCAGTCAGCCAGATGTTTAGACTGGGTTTGGCATTTTTATCCACCTATCAGGATGGATGTTGGCAGATGTTGTTGTTTGATGGTGTTAATTATTATTATTGGTATTATTATTTTGCTTCCTGGGAACTGCATAGAGAGATAGTTTTTTATTTGCATGTTGGGATTCCTCTACCTGGTGAATTTGGTCTAGCAGAACTTGCTACCTTTGGTCCTAAAGGTGATGATGATGATTAGATTTTTATCCCGCCTTTTTATATCAGCAGCCCTAGTCTCACCTTTTAAGCACTACCCTCTACTCATTCTTGGCCTGGAAGACATGAGCACCCCTGTTTACCAGGCAGATCTCCCTTCTTTCTCATTCATTCATTTACAGACATAATATATTCAGATGTTCTATCTATCTATCTATCTATCTATCTATCTATCTATCTATCTATCTATCTATCTATCTATCTAT